GTACAATACCCCCTGAGAAAAAGTTATGTTCAAAGTAAGGCTCAAATTTTCTCTTAAGAGTACGAAATATAGTAAAATAAATTAAACAAGATAAATAAAGAAATTGGAAATGTATAAATTTGCAAATAGGGATCGTAAAAAAAGTAAGGAAATAAAGCTGGAGATACTGTAAACATTAGTTACTCAAATTATAAACCCCTATTTTGGCTCCGTGTTGTTACCTAGAATTACATTTGGTGGTACCGATTGACAACCAACTTCCACAAAGTTATGGTGCTTTCTGCCATGACAAGCAAGTTTGTCTTTTTCAAATTTTTCCAACCATATATACATACAAAACAAATATTGCATTACTTTGGGATCTGAGGGTAGGTTTGTAGAGATCGTGATGAGTAATAAAATCGAATCGGGCGAGCCCCCACACTTGGTATTACTGGTGCACAAAAATCATAATCATTGGCTGAAATTCCTCATTACATTTGCTTGGTTGTCAGGTTTTTAATTCTAAATTTTTTATTTATCTTTCTTTGCTGGCTTTTTTTTTATGCTCAACTATGGGTAAAGGATTACTTGATATGGTAGCTAACAATAAACATAGCTAGTAGCTAGCTGATACGGTTCATTATGATTTACTGTAGATATTGACTATTTGATAACATTAGTTCCAGATGTAAATTGTTAAGCTGTAGCTGGTGATTGTCATGAATATTTCTTTGAGAATATAGTGAGCATTTATAGTTTCTGTTCTGTGTAACTAAATTTTCTATATACAATACATATAAGTAGAAAAGCAGCCTTTTCAAATATAGCATATACGTCTAAAACATCGCTTTAATTAAATCTTCGTGTCTTTTAAAGTAATTATTTTACGAATGTGTGTAGGAAAGTTTAATAGTATGTCTATTTATATTTTTTTATCCCTTCTCTTCATACATAATATAGGGGTTGGCTATACAGCTATTCATAGGTCATCCCTACATGATTTTCAATATTAAAATCTAACGTTACACTGTAAAATGCACGAGTACAAAATTGTCGAATTGACCGACCTCGTAACGAGATTTTGTAGTAATCAAGACATGTTTTGACTCCATTAGTTTTTTTTTGTAGGTAAGCTTTAGGCTCTTAGTTATACTATGTTGATGCTTGCCCTGACCATGATATTGTTACGACAGCGGAATTCACGTGACGCTGGTAACACATAATGAGTATCTAGAAAGTTCGGGGAACATCACGAATAATCCAGTATTTGCTAGACGCCCTCTATTCCTGTATATAAACG